TCAAATGCAACATGACTATAACTGTCAATTCATAGAGCCATGTTTATTTGGTTTCCGAAGATTACCGGAAATTTGTTTTGAAAGAAATTTCTACGATTGAAAAATTTATAGTTTTTTTTTTATGTTCCAGTTCAGACAATCAATATTTCGTCCAATTTCTTTTTGGAACGCACTATTCCATGCAGTAAAACAAAATAATACGTTCAAAAAGAAAATTGACGCAAATTTTCAACGTGTAAACTGTAAAAAAAAATGTTTTAATAATAAAAAAAAATTATAAAGCTCTATAAAATTTCCGTTCGATCAAACTTCTGTCTATCAATTTTCTGTCGACGAAATTTCTTTCAAACAAATTTCCGGATACGGTTTGTGACGTACATAGTCCCAGCATCGGATTAGGGAGATATGACTAATCCCAATCCATCGCGGCCACTATTCAGACATTTAGAAACGACCACTGGACGGACAGAGACACACACGTTTGGTGTTTCTTCACTAGATGGCTTCACTACGACGTCACCCGTGTGCGGTGTTGTCAGCCGATAAACCAAACAATGCACACATCAGCATCAAGCCATCAATCATTATTTGTATTTCTTTCTTTTTCTTTTTTTTTTTTTTTTTTTTTTTTTTTTTGTAAGATGGAGAAAAGTGGAAGAAACAATATACAGTAGATTAACACCCCCGTGAGAGCGAGAGGGAGAGAGATAGAGAGATGAAGATGGGGAGAGAGAAAGGGAGAGAGAGAGAGAAGGAAAGGGAGAGAGAGAGAGAAGAAGAAGAAGAAGAAGTAAATAATTAGCGTTTACAAAATACGTTCTGAAATTGTTAATTAAAGGGGAGCGACTTGCATTATTTGTAAAAGGAAAAATATAGCATCAGTAATTTCCCTTTACCATCCCAGGAGTCGCAAGACATTCTTTTTTTTAAAAAAATATTTTTTTTTACGGTTTTAAATTACAAAGATTTCATCAACTTGACGACGAGGGAACAACGACCCCGTTGTGATGCTCATTATTCATTCCATTGACATCAATATTAATTTACGTGGACGGCATTTCATCTGAAAGGTGTGCGTGTTTCGAAATGTCATTTTCTGTTATTTTTAAATATTAAAAAAAAAATAATAAATAAATAAATAAAAATTTTAGCTTTGTTCACACAGCTAAAATAATAATTTAATCAATTTCAAAAGAAAAGATTTTTACAAATGTCTTTAATTAGTTTATTATTAGGCTTATTTTTGAGTCTAATAACAAATTAATGCAAATAAAAACAGATAAACATTTTACAAATTTGATTTTGTTATTTTAAATCCTTTACATTAACTTCGCTTTTTTTACCCCTGTGTTTCTGGCTGGCAAAATCTTTGGACAGCTAGTTGCCCCCCCCCCCTCTCACCCCCCAAAAAAAACTAAGAAAAACATTGTTTTTTTTACTGTTTTTCAAGAGGAATATAAAAGAAATTATGATGACACTGATTTCACGAAATAAAATTCACGCTAACTGCGCTAAATTAAATTCTTTTTGTTAAAAAGAAAACAACTTGCAATTAGCGTTTGGTACGTAACATTTTTTTTTCTGAAATATTTGGTGAAATAAATCTGAGGTGTAAAGGCGGGTGTGCCATTAGAGTATTCATATAGTTCAGGACCGTGGAAAAAAATGAGCAGCTGCGAGCTTTGTGGGGTTGGGGTCTGGGAAAAGGGGGTGGGGTGTCATGAATTAGTTTTCTTGTGCGCTGCTTGTGTCCATGTTTTGTCTACTTTTCAACGCCACTCCCAATGGCTCGATATTAAATTTTATAAAGGATTTATATAAAAAAAAATAATTTTTTTTTGGGGGGGCTATTTAAATCTGTCTATGGACGTGTTTAATCGATTTTAATTTTTAAATTTTTTGATGTGTGCTCTCTAATGATCATTTATTGAAAGCATGAGGCAAATTCGATATGGAATATTGTTTTTTTTTTTTTTTTAAGCCACATTAAACAATAGACACGAGCAAATTTTGTTTTCGCACTTAATCACAAAGTAGTTTGGATGTTTTAAATCATAATTTTCATATGCTTCTTTCTAAATGAAACAAACAAAAAAAAACAACAACAAAAAAATATTTAAAAAATGCCCACATTTTGAGGTCAACCGAGTCTCAATCCTAAAAATTGTGTTTTGATTGAAGAAATAAATAGATAGCATTCTGGGCACGATAACGGGTATTTTTTTAAATAAAGACCTTTTTTTTTTTTTAATTTTTTTGTTGTCAATGTTGCCACACATCCCTGCCTGCCTACACATGATTCTTGATGAGTTGAACAGTTTTTAACCGTCTTCTTGAACGTCCGAGCCTCGTAGCATTCCGCGAACCTAGACTCACCCATGGGATTATGATACAGACTATGGATGACCTTCCAAGCAATGGCCAAATTCATTGCGTGAACTTGCCCATCTTCTTAAGTTACTTGACAAAACATGGCCAAATCTAGCGCACATTATAAGAATCCCTATTAGTGCTACCAGCCAGGGAGTGTTATTTGATGCGCCTATTGAACACAGGGCTACCCGCTACACACACATGCATGGTTAGAGAATTATTAATGAGTGTACGTTTAAGGCAGCGGTTCTCAACCTGTGGGTCGCGACCCCTTTGGGGGCGCACGACCCTTTTACAGGGGTCGCCTAAGACCATCGGAAAACAGATATACTCCACAGTTGTAAAGTATCAACGAAAATAATTTTGTGGTTGGGGGTCGCCACAACATGAGGAAATGTATTAAAGGGTAGTGGCATTATAAAGGTTGAAAACCAATGGCTTAAGGTAAGGTTGTGTGTATCCCAGTTTCCGTTCTTAGATGCATTTGGTGTGATAAAGTTTACCTAGTTAGACATTTCAAACAAAATAGACGAGCAAGTTGTGTAGAAGCTTGAAACGGTAAGACAGCTAAATACGAAAAGAATGTTTCAGCTAAGCGCATTCCACGGCGGACTAGACAAATGGAAAAAAAAAGAGAGACCAGAAATAAAAAGTAGTTTTAAAAAAAAAACTCAAGTGTTCCCCATTCATTTATTACCCTTTATACATTTGAAATATGTTTCCAGAAAATCTGTGAATTCAAAAATTAGTATTTAAAATCATCCTAAAGCAACAAAACAAAATAATTTTTTAACTCCAATGTGAACGCAGTCCTGTTGTACTGGTCTGAAGAAAAAAATGGAGAACAACATAAAATACCGCTAACAGAGAGTGCAAGTAAACCCATCTTTAAACCATCTTTAAACCCATCTTTAAACCCATCTTTAAACCATCTTTAAACCCATCTTTAAACCCATCTTTAAACCCATCTTTAAATCCATCTTTAAACCCATCTTTTAACCCATCTTTAAACCCATCTTTAAACCCATCTTTAAATCCATCTTTAAACCCATCTTTTAACCCATCTTTAAACCCATCTTTAAACCCATCTTTAAACCCATCTTTAAACCCATCTTTAAACCCATCTTTAAACCCATCTTTTAACCCATCTTTAAATCCATCTTTAAACCCATCTTTAAACCCATCTTTTAACCCATCTTTAAACCCATCTTTAAACCCATCTTTAAACCCATCTTTAAACCCATCTTTAAACCCATCTTTAAATCTATCTTCAAACCCATCCGTTAAACACATCGTTGATTTGGAATGTCTCCAGAGAGAAATAAACCTTACTAACGTCAGTCACGTCAGGAAACGTGTTACCGCTGACACTGTTGGTTACCCATGTTGGTAGCTATATTTGCTTTAATAGCAGGGAGGTGACAGCTAACAGGTACGCCGCCTCCCCTCAAGGCTCTCTTATCCCTCTAGAAATTAATGGGATAGATATCATCATCATCTATGGGAGTTATGTCATCCTTTATGGGAGTTATGTCATCCTTTATGGGAGTTATGTCATCATTTATGGGAGTTATGTCATCCTTTATGGGAGTTATGTCATCCTTTATGGGAGTTATGTCATCCTGTATGGGAGTTATGTCATCATTTATGGGAGTTATGTCATCCTTTATGGGAGTTATGTCATCATTTAAGGGAGAGATGTCAACATCGTCATCAAGTATGGTGCTATGGACTTTCAAACTTAACGCGTGACGACTCCAAGTCGACGTAAAGCCATTTCAGTCTTAGTCCACCGGAGAGCTGCATGCTCCTGACCACTAAAATCGTCTGCCCCCTGACCAGAGAGCCGTCTGCCCTTGACTGGAGAGCCATCTTCCACTGACCGGCGAACCGTCTGCCCACTGACCGAAGCGCCGTCTGCCCACTGACCGGAGAGCTGGCTGTTTCTCTGTAGTGTCCTGTTCATCACAGCACGCCTTCTATAACGGCCGCGATCATGTTTCCTCTTCGTATTACTGGTGTATTTCTTGATTTTTCCAAATTCTCCGTCCATCATAATCCTAAAAAGGGTTGGTTTGTTTTAAGTCCCATACTTAAAAGGAATCATTCAAGATAAAGCTTAATCAAATTATCAAAATGCACAAGGTTTAATAACAGCATGTCATAGAGAGATGTCGTTTAGTATAGAGAGATGTGGTTTAGTATCGAGAGATGTGGTTACGCTTATCATGGAGAGATTTTGTTTAGTATGTCATAGAGCGATGTGGTTTAGTATCGAGAGATGTGGTTTAGTATCGAGAGATGTGGTTTAGTATCGAGGGATGTGGTTACGCTTATCATAGAGAGATTTTGTTTAGTATGTCATAGAGCGATGTGGTGACACTTAAATGAGCATGTTATTTGTTCCTATATTTGAATTTGCAATTTTTTTTTCTGGTTGAATTTTAGAATTTATAGAAGTAAATTATTTCTAAATTGATAGATGTTAATTAAATTGATATGCATGGCAGGAAATCGATAAGTGATCGATAATTAAAGTGCACCTTTTTGGAGAAGACTTCACAAATAAACAATAAATACAATCGAATCTGTTTCATAAAATTCATATTTTTGTAACAAAAATTTTACTGAAACAGAAAGATGAAATTAATTTTTTGTATTCAATACAAAAGTATTACTAATTAAACTACAGATAATCTTATCAATGGTATCTACATATAATCTTATCAATGGTCTCTACAGATAATCTTATCAATGGTCTACGGCAATCCACGACGGAGGGTAGTAATCCTCCATTGTTAATCCCAGAGCAAGCCTTGAGCCCTTATTCGGAAATCGCACATAGTAGATCACGTGACCGGCGGTCAGCCATCCGGCCCACCAGCCAAAGGTCCCCACCGACACAATCATGTGCTTGCACCTGGCCAACACGGCGAAGTGGACCTCGCGCTCGGCGTCCTCCAGGACGACGACGCCGGGCTCCTGCAAGTTCTTACGGCACCATTCGATGCCGTTGCTGGCCAGAAGGAAGACCAGATTTTTCCCCGGCACGAGTTCTCGCATCCTGCTGAAGGCGTTTCTGAAGAAGGAGATCGGAGCCTCGGGGTACGGGCTCCTGGAGTAGTCCTTCATCCTGACGTGGACCCCGACAAAGACCGGGTCACTGATGTTCTGAAGACGTTTCCGTATGTTGTAGTGTATCGTGTCCGCTTGGAGCCTGTGAAACGATATAATGCATTTTTGTTCTGGCTAGGATATGTGTTGTGCCAGCTAAATTTCTGAGGTGATTGAAAAAAAAATTAAGCGTGGCCTGACTCCATCCTAAAAACACCTGGGGATCCTAGCTGCTTCGAAATTGATTTCATTTGGTCAGAGCCCCCCCCCCCTCGTTTATTAAACATGTGGTCGTCTTCCCCACACCTGAGAACAGACTTCTCTTATTCATTTTATTGACACATTACATTGTGCCAAAAGACCTCTATAAATTGGTGAGAGGACTTCTAAAGGACATTACAGAGGGGTACGAAACTTCAAGTAGTATTCATGTACAATGTAAAATTATGAACAGACCAAATAAGAGTAAAATTTGAAGGAAATTGAAGACCACCAGTTAGAGAGTGTTTGACTGATTCCATATGGTGATATGGTGCATCAAATGTGAATAATATTTGCGGGTTTCTTTTTTTCATTCTTCACTCTCGTTGGCTTATTAATGTAAGACACCAGAGCCGTGACAGATACATCATATTTGTGTCGTCAAATCTCCTTAGTAGTACGCACCACAGAATGATGTAGTGAGCAAAAAATTTTAACAACTTAACTTTCTTTTCTAACATAGAGTAGTTCCGTTTCTAACATAGAGTACTTCCGTTTCTAACATAGAGTACTTCCGTTTCTAACATAGAGTACTTCCGTTTCTAACATAGAGTACTTCCATTTCTAACATAGAGTACTTCCGTTTCTAAAAATAGAGTGTGTTCGTTCACGTCACTGAGATCTTCTAACACATTAATTTTACTTATTTTTTATTTAGTCTCATTTTTTTTTTCGTATTTTGTCTCTTATCTGTTGAAGAAGGCGTTTGGCAGAATCGTCCTTTTAACTATGCTATCTTCTCACTTCAAACCTAAACCCATCATTTTCCACAATTACTATAAATGCAATGTTAGGAACCTAACACTTTTTTTCCCCACGACGAGCCTCTAAAAAAAATCCTTAGCATCAAATGGCAGGACAAGATCCCATACACCGAGGTACCCGCCGCACAAACACATCTTCCAAGCAAAAACACCTCTCTAATGCAGTACCAGCTTCTCTGTGCAGGACATGTTTGAGATAATGTCTGACGACCCTTGCCCCCCCCCCCAAAAGAAATATCCTTTGGCGAACTCAAGCGCGGTAAGCGTTTTGCTGGGGGGGGGGGGGGGGGGGGAGCAGACGAACTGATTTAAAGACACGCTGAAAGCATCCTTGAAAGCGTTTCACATTTAACCAGGGCGTGTTTCAACAATCCGCGCAGGATCGAGACTCGTGGGGGGCGCACCTCCTTACACAAAGCTTCAGTGCAACATGAGACTGGGATGACAGCTGCTGCAGAGAAGAAAAGACAAGCCAGAGAAGCCCGAGTGAACTCCTTTTCGGAGTTGTCCCATCCATCACCTGCACCTTCTGGTGCATGAAGATTTCCAGCAAGAGTCGATCTGATCAGCCACCTGCGCACCCGCGGGAAGATTCAGCCACAGTCCTTATCCAATGTTTTATTTAAAATGGCAATGATCAAATTTTGTGGCGGATAAACTAACTTATTTAAACTAATTTGTCATCTTATATGTTTTCTACAACGTCACCTTACATGTCATCTACAACATCACCTTACATGTAATCTACAAAATCACCTTTACGTGTCATCTACAACATCACCACACATGTCACCAACAACATCACCTTATATGTGGCATGAAGGTAAACTCTCTTCGTATCTCGTCCTCTATTCCCCGGAAGTATTTCCACGACTGGACGTAGCCCATGAGGGTCAGGTTGACCTTTGGCAGATCTCGAAACACCGGATCAAAAGTACCATACTTAAGCTCTCCAATTCTTTTCCACCTGTGAAAGTAAGCAATAAATCTGTACATATGAAATGAATTAGTTTGTCTCTACTTTTCGTATCTATGAAATATACTCTTACTAGTTGCACTGACCAACTAATATCTAATTAATTCTATTAAATCCAAGAAGCATGGCAGAAACAACGAATATATAATGGTTGTTGGTGTTCGTCCGTCGAAGTCGACTAGGACCATCGAATCATCCGGTTATGGGGAAGTTGGGATTACGGTGAGCTTGAAGGTGGCTTGCTAGACCGATCCTTGCTCAGAATAATCTATGACAACGTGGGCATGGAATAGTTGCTTCAGACGGTGACCTAATGTTGCTCTTTCGGACAAGCCTGCGTGTCTCAGCTGTGGTTATTCTATTGGCTTCATGGGATTTAGCCCCCCTTCTTGACAGCAGCTCTCCACCTGGCTCTGTCCTGGGCTGTCTGCACCCATTGAGTAGGGTTTATGCTGAAGGCCTTTAGTGCCACTTTCAGTGAGTCTTTGTAATGCTTTTTTGACCTCCTTGGGAGCGCTTGCCTATCGTGAGTTCTCCGAAAAATTATTGTTTCAGGATCCGGTGGTCTTCCATCCGGGCTACGTGTCCCATCCAACGGAGCTGAGACTGCATCAGAGTGGTGAAGATACTTGGTAGGTTCGCTCTAGCGAGGACCTCAGTGTCGGGGACTTTGTCTTGCCACCTGATGTCGAGGATTTCCTGAGGCGGGTAGTATGAAAATGATTCAGTTTCTTGGCGTGACGCTGGTAGAGTGTCCACGTTTCACATCCATAGAGCAGAGTCGGGAGGACTGCTAAGCTATAGACCTTGAGCTTTGTTTCTCGTCTGATATCTCTCCTGTCCCAAAAACAGTTCTGCGGATCCTGCCAAATGGGTCACTAGCTTTTGCGAGTCTGCCATTCATTTCATTATCCATGATGACAGATCCAGAGAGGGTGCTGCCCAAGGAAGTAAATTTATCCACCGAGTTGGAAGAATCAAACAAAATCTACAGAAGAAAACCTACCTGCAATTCCTACTTTGTTTGTGCCATTCTCATGAAACATTAGCTGTTTCGACTGTGAGCCAACAAAAAAAGAAACTCACTAAGCTGACACAAGTCTGTCCTACTCAAGTAGTCAAACAAGCGGCTGTTTTACTTATTCAAACAAAGAATCGGTGCGAAATTGTGGGCCTCTACCTCCGTGGTCGAAATTCAAGGAGAGCCACCTTAGCTACACAGCGCCCACGCTGGGACAGATTCAGGGCCGAAGCTACCTATAGGCTTAAGTAGGCTTAAGCCAAGGGTCTCCAAACACGAATAAATCAATTTATGTTAAGCCATAATTATGATTAATTCAAATATAAATTCAAACTTTCGACTAATGCTCTCATCAGTACAACAAAGAATATTCATATAAGACATACAATTATTAATTGAATGTACAGTATAAAAAAAAAATATATATATAAAACATACAAATATTTATTGAATATACAGTATATATATATATATATATATATATATATATATATATATATATATATATATATATACATATAATGTTTTTTTCGAACATAATAAAAGCTTAACCTCTATTGTTTTAATTACACTAATGCTTGTGTTTTTTAACCTACTTCAACGCTTTATCATAGCCAAACCATCTTATCATTAGTATTAATTAAAAATGCGTATATCTGGCTTAAGACTAAGGATCATTTGTAGACACGGAAGAATGTGTTAATACTAAAGTTTTGGTCTGGTATTTTACATTATATTCCCAAAGTCCTCAAAAACAATTTTTTTTTAAAATAACAGTATTGATTGCTTGAGAAATTTTCAAACACAGTTCATTTGAAGACATTTAAAAACAAAATTAAAGAAGATTGATATGACGGATTTGATGTTGCTTGAACAACTGTTGATTTATTACATGACATGTGCAACATTCATTTACAGTAATATTTTTTGTTGAGCTATTTACGACACACTCCAGATTGAGGATACTCACTTGCCGCACTCCGGGATGAATTCCACATGGGTCAGGTTGAAGACGTGCGGCAGGTTGTGGTCCCGGCCGTACGGATTGACAAACGGGTGCCGGCCCTGGGCTCGAGCGATCCCAAGCAGAGATGCGTACTCGAACATGTTGTTGCCCATCCGGCCCATCTGGTGAGTTATCGTGATAAACAACGGTGTGGCCCGGGAGATGTTGTCGGCGAGGACGACGCTCTGGTTGGTGCTGAGGTTCCCAGGAATATTCGTTTCCGAAATTCCGGCACCGAGCACGCCCTCCTTTGAGTTTCTCTGATCCGAAAAATTGCCTGATTGAGATATGTTGCTTCCAGGGACTTTCTCGTGCCGAACTACAAGATCTGTAACAACGTTTGGTTTGGAGGCTGCTTTATCAAAGATAACACTTTGATTTACATTTCCTGAAGCCGGAAGATCTACTTTATGAGATAAGTTCTGAAATGCGTTATTCGATTCAGACGTCTGCTTGTCGCCCACCAAGCCATTACCCCTCTCTGATTCGGACACTTTACCTGTAACAGCGGTCTGAGTATTTCCATCTCTGAATTCACTGCGTCTTCCAGGCTGCGTCACGTTCGAGGAGAGAATGCTTGCGTTGTGAACTGCTTCGTCGAGGAAGGCGAACCGCATTGGAAAAAACACCTTATCTGATAGACGAGCTTGCAGAAGAGCACATACGATAAACGTGGCTGCGAGCATCAAATATTTGTACCTAGCAAACAATTTATTTGTCTTCGGCTGGTAATCAAGTCTATTTGTAGAGCTTGTCAAAGCCATTTCTGAAAGCTCTAATTGATTTCTAGCCCCTTAAACATAACTACGACCTCCACATTTGAGTAAAAAATGTAATTTAAAAAACAAAAAAATACTGATTAGATTTCTTTTGGTTGGACAAGATTCATCATGCACAACCTTTTTAACACAATGACCTCAACTAGAATCATGACACGTGACAATGATCATGACGCGTTATCATTACATTGACAGCTGCAAGTCTCCAATCATACATCACAACAGTAATAATGAACGACTAGAGCCACATCATTCAGTCAAATCCCACGAATGGTCATGTTACATATCAAATTGTTTAACGTATTTTTTTTTTTAAATTTGCGTTCAAGTCTGAGAAAATCATGATATTTTTTATTTATTTATTAAATTTAGAAATATAGTAACAAGAAGTAAAAATACAATCTTTTATTTCAATCACAACCGATAGGATTGAATACAGTTCCCGTCTGCGCATGATAGCCAGCATGTTGTTTAACATACTGTTTGCGTTCAGGGCTGTGAAATAATTTTTTTATATAGTTTTTTTTTTATTTGAGACATAAGATCGAGCGGGTGTTTTTAACCCAGCGGTTCTCAACCTGTGGGTTGCGACCCCTTTTGGGCTCGAACTACCCTTATACAGGGTTGCCAAAGACCATCGTAAAACACATAATTATGAATTAGCAACAAAAAAATATTTATTTTGTTTATGTTGGGGGTCGCTAAAACACGGGGAAGTGTATTAAAGGTGAACGGAATTCGGTTGAGAACCACTGTTTTAACGTGAGGAGAAGACAGCAGGTGTCATCGGGTAACGATGAGCAGGTGGGAAAGAAAGCCAAGGTCATTAAAAGTGTCCGCGATTGACAGGTGATGAGCTGAACTGTTGTACATGAGATTTGTCTAAACAGGCAAATGTCATCGTGATTTCATTGCGAAAGTTTAGGTCCACGAATTGTCATCGTGATGGCATTGATAAATGGGTCCACGAATTGTCATCGTGATGGCATGCCTAGATGGGTCAACAAATTTTCATCATGATGGCATTGATAAATGGGTCCACGAATTGTCATCGTGATGGCATGCCTAGATGGGTCAACAAATTTTCATCATGATGGCATTGATAAATGGGTCCACGAATTGTCATCGTGATGGCATGCCTAGATGGGTCAACAAATTTTCATCATGATGGCATTGATAAATGGGTCCACGAATTGTCATCGTGATGGCATTGCTAGATGGGTCAACAAATTTTCATCATGATGGCATTGATAAATGGGTCCACGAATTGTCATCGTGATGGCATGCCTAGATGGGTCAACACATTTTCATCATGATGGAATTGATAAATAGGTCCACGAATTGTCATCGTGATGGCATGCCTAGATGGGTCAACAAATTTTCATCATGATGGCATTGATAAATGGGTCCACGAATTGTCATCGTGATGGCATGCCTAGATGGGTCAACAAATTTTCATCATGATGGCATTGATAAATGGGTCCACGAATTGTCATCGTGATGGCATTGCTAGATGGGTCAACAAATTTTCATCATGATGGCATTGATAAATGGGTCCACGAATTGTCATCGTGATGGCATGCCTAGATGGGTCAACAAATTTTCATCATGATGGCATTGATAAATGGGTCCACGAATTGTCATCGTGATGGCATGCCTAGATGGGTCAACAATTTTTCATCATGATGGCATTGATAAATGGGTCCACGAATTGTCATCGTGATGGCATGCCTAGATGGGTCAACAAATTTTCATCATGATGGCATTGATAAATGGGTCCACGAATTGTCGTCGTGATGGCATGCCTAGATGGGTCAACAAATTTTCATCATGATGGCATTGATAAATGGGTCCGCGAATTGTCATCGTGATGGCATTGCTAGATGGGTCAACAAATTTTCATCATGATGGCATTGATAAATGGGTCCACGAATTGTCATCGTGGTGTCATTGCACTATGGGTCCACCAGTTGTCATCGTGGTGTCATTGCTAGATGGGTCCATGAATTGTAATCGGGACGTCATTGCTGAGCTTTGGGTCCATAAATAAAACCCAGTTTGGTCCTGAACATAAAAATCAAATGAACAACATAACATGCAATGTCGGTACAATGAGTTCAAAACATGATCAAGTCTAGAACCCAGGCCTTAGCATCAGCTGCCATTGCAGGTTCATTTATTCCGTTGCTTAGGGTCAAAAATTGTGTGCATTCCTTCTAAGTAGATACCAATATAAATGACTAAGGCACACACACAAACAAACACACACACATATATATATTTATTTTAATGTGTAATACTTTCGGTTACATCCAATCATAAATGTTCACGTGTGTGACAACCAGCTTATCGATCACTTTTGTTTTAATTTTATCTGAACAATAAATCCACGCGTTGGTAAGAAGTGTGGTGGGCTGAAGATATCATCACAGCTGCTCGGGGGCCTGGAGACGTTGATTGGATCATAACATCGTCTTTGATTTTATACAATGAAACTACACTACTGCACAACTACACAACTGCACAGCTACACAATTACACTACTACACAACAACACAACTACACAATTACACAATTACACTACTACACAACTACACAATTACACTACTACACAACTACACAACTACACAATTACACAACTGCACACTTACACAATTACACAACTACACAACTACACAATTACACTACTACACAACTACACAATTACACTACTACACAACATCACAACAAACAACTACCCAACTGCACTACACAACTACACAACATCACAACAAACAAATACACAACTGCACAACTATACAACTACACAACATCACAACAAACAACTACACAACTGCACAACTACACAACATCACAGCAAACAACTACACAGCATCACAACAAACAATTACACAACTACACAACTACACAACATCACAACAAACAACTACACAACTGCACAACTGCACAACTACACAACATCACAGCAAACAACTACACAACATCACAAAAAACAATTACACAACTATACAACTGCACAGCTACACAACTACACAACTACACAACTACACAACTGCACAACTACACAACATCACAACAAACAACTACACAACTACACAACTGCACAACTGCTCAACTACACAACTGCACAACTGCACAACTGCACAACTGCACAACTACACAACTACACAACTGCACAACTACACAACTACACAACTACACAACTGCCAACTAAACAACCACACAACTGCACAACTACACAACTACACAACTGCACAACTGCTCAACTGCACAACTACAAAACTACACAACTGCACAACTGCTCAACTGCACAACTAAACAATTACACAACTGCACAACTACACAACTACACAACTGCACAACTACACAATTACAAAACTGCAAAACTGCACAACTACACAACTGCACAACTACACAACTACACAACTGCACAACTACACAATTACACAACTGCACAACTTCACAACAAAACAACAAAACAACAAACAACTACACAACTACACAAAATCCCAACTGCACAACTATACAACAAACAACAAAACAACAAACACTACACAACTACACAACATCACAACTGCACAACTGCAAAACTATACAAAAAACAACAAAATTACACAACAAACAACACAACAACTACACACCTACACAACTACACACCTACACAACTACACAACTGCACAATTTAACCACAAGACCACACAACGATTCAATAATACACAATTACACAACTACAATGGTGTTTTTAATCTACATTGTTTTGGTTCTTTTTATATTATTGTTATTAACATGCATATTTCACTATTTTTTAAGTGTTCGATGTTTTAATTCAGTATTGATTTTTCAAAAATTGATTTTTTCCTTTCTATAATTTATTCGTTATTTTTCCCATTTTACGGGGATTGAACTCCAGACCACGAAACTGGGATTGGCTCAGTTCCACCAGACGGTTTAAAACTTCCTTGTTTGTTAAATAACTTGTTTGAGCATTCGGTGCATTTGTGTTGTTGTTGTTGTAGTCTAGATCAGAGCGTCTGTAACTAGTGGTGCATTTCATCTGCCGGAAACACGTCAGGATGACATTTCACACTGGATTAGAGACAGAATGTACTAATATATGTCTACCCCCAGTGGCTCTCAACCTTTTTGATGCCGTGACCCTTAAATACACAAACATAAAATTTCCTTGCCTCTTCATAAATATGTGCTTTCCGAAGGTCTTTGGGGGGCCGTGTGTTAGGGTCTTTCGACCTCCAAAGAGGTCGCGACCCATAGGTAGAGAGCCGCTGGTCTATCGTGAAGCAGGAATCCAGAGTCATGAAGCTTGAATAAAAAGTCATCAGGCAGGAGCGAAAATCCATGCGACAAATTTTATAGATGGAGTCGGAGTCGTAAAACTTCATCCGAATCCAAATTAAATTCGTCCTCAAACTAAACAGTTTTTAAACCATATCATTTTGCAGCATGCAGTCACTACATAAAGACATGTTATACTATAGGTGGGGACAAACCTTTTTTGGTAAAAAAAAAAAAAAGAAGAAAAAGAAAAATGTCAAAATCGCGAAACAATTAATAAATAATAAACTAATACACTAACACACGCGTTTTGACTAACCAGTGACCTTGTAGGTCTGATGACACGTCAAGGCGCACCTCATCCCGGCACCACGTTTAACTTCAACCATTCGGGTTCCATAATCCGTCCATGTTTTAAGTTTCTTTAAATCCGTATTTGAATTGGTTGTTTCCCTTTCTGCCCTACGTGGCCATCCATTTAATACCTACGCAAAAATAAAAAGTCAAATTTTGGTAACCCCACCACGCTCACACTGTTGCACGCGAACTTTTTGACCACCCTCCCCCCCCCCCCAATAATGCGTACGCACCAGAAGCTATTGTTTCCCTTTCTGCCCTACGTGGCCAACCATTTAGGACCTACGCAAAAATAAAAAGTCAAATTTTGTTAACCCCCCCCCCCCCCCACCGTTTCACGCGAACTTTTTGACCACCCCCCCCCCCCCCCCAATAATGCGTACGCACCAGAAGCTTCGACCCTCCTCCCCGCAACAGAAAAAAATAAAAAACCCAACAAAATCAAATAATTTATTGATAATTGTAACGTCACAGAATTTTTTAAAATAAATTGTGTCACGGCTTCGAATCGCCGACTGTTTGTTCGGCCCAGTGGTTCCCATCCTATATGCCACTTTGCTCTAGGTGCCAAACTGCCCTCGGGCAGAGCCATGAGAGTGGGGCAAAGACGGCAGTCACACGGGGCGCCGACATCATGGGCACCAAATTCTTCTTTGGGTAAGATGGTAATAGTGAATATATTTTTTTTCTTTAAATCCCATATGCTTCAGAAAGACAAAGGGCTCCGGTAATTGTCTTTTTACTGATCAGCCGGGGGGGGGGGGGGGGGGGGGGGGGGGGGGGGAGCATTTTTGCTAAACATTAAGTGGCACCATCACTTTTCGGT